CAGAAGATGGTTGTGACCTACAAAGATTGGCACGAGATGCTGCCATTTGCATTGCACGGTTATCGTACGACGGTACGTACGTCAACCGGGGCAACTCCTTTCTCCTTGGTGTACGGTATGGAAGCAGTCCTACCGTTAGAAGTGGAGATCCCTTCTTTGCGAGTTTTGGTTGATGTGAAACTCGACGAGGCAGAATGGATTACGAACCGACTGAACCAACTCAGCCTGATGGACGAGAAGAGGTTGGCATCGATTGCGCATGGTCGTCTGTACCAAAGCCGAATGAAGAAAGCTTATGATAAGAAGGTGCGTCCTAGAAGCTTTCAGACGGGTGATCTCGTCCTGAAGAAGATTCTTCCTCCACACTCCGATCACCGGGGCAAGTGGACTCCCAATTACGAAGGTCCGTATGTCGTCAGCAAGGTCTTCTCAGGAGGAGCTTTGTTGTTATCCACGATGGATGGTGAAGATTTTGCATCCCCGGTGAACACAGACGCAGTTAAAAAATACTTTGCTTGAAAGCGACCCGCTGGACAGTAAAAAGAGAGTCCAGGAAAAAAAGGGGCATCCCGGCGAACCATAAAAAAGGAAAAAGGTTCGGGCAAAAATTAGGGATATAAATTGAAAAAATGTACACCCGCAAAGTCGAAAACCCGGATGGGCGACTTTGGCAAAAAAGGGTATCCCGGTGAACTGAAAACCCGCAAAGGGCGGTGTCGTACCTCGAAAAATACGATGGCCGCGGAAAAATACTGTTCGAAACAGAGTCGCCACCGAACTTTATTCATTCCAAGGATGGAATAGGAAAAAATCGATAAAACCTTTAAGGAGATAAGAACATGGTCATCGCAACCAATATTCTAGGTTCGGGAGTCGATTACGCAGAGGGAAGGTATTAGCACCCTCTACGTCCGTTGTACTCAACGGGAACCTCTTGATCGATTCGAGAGTAAAGTTAACTATGCTTGTTTGTTTTCTTCTAAGGTTTCTCCTATGGGGGGGAATGGATGGTTATAGGATAGGGTGCTCGCCAAGGATTGGGGCCCTTGTGACTACGTATCTTCACTTGTAAGAAGTGGAAAATCAGAGCATTCGTAGTTCGTGGGACTACGGGAAAAGGAGGGGATTGTGCTCGCCAAGATCATCGCAATCTTGTGCCTACGTATCTTACATTCAGAAGAGAATGAAGAATCAGAGCAGCCGTAGTTCGGCCAACTACGGTAAAAGGTTTGGTAAACGAACGAGTGTTTAGATCGCATTCTAACTGCTAAACGTTGGCTTGTCTGCTCGCTAGGGGAGGCTGAAGCACGAGTTTGTTATGCATGGAAGAAAGGACTAAACAATGTTCTTGGTAAAAGTTGTTTGAGTTGGAAATCGCACGAGGGCGAGGAATTTGGTTTATCGCATTGGATGTTTTGGTTAGAGGATATATTTGAATAGGTTTGTGGTTTCGATTGCGCGGGGGCAAGAAAGAGGAGTTTGGTTAAGTAATTTGATGGAGAATGACGACTATTCGATAAACGAGACGTCGGCCTCGCAATCAATTAATCGGGGCATTATTGGAATGCTAGATTCCAACGACACCTTTTTCATTCGAAAGATTCTACGAAATATGTTTGAGAAGGTCTCAATCGCACGGGGCGAGAGAAGAAAATTGGGTTGAATATTTTAGGGGAGAATGACGACTACTCGATAAACGAGACGCCAGTCTCGCAATTGATTAATCGGGATATCGTTGGAATGCTAGATCCCAACGACACCTTTTTCATTCAATTAATTAGGAAATTTTATTTGAATGGACAATGGCGGTATTTGTCCAAATAGTTAGGGCGCGTGTTTTATGGACGAAAGGTCGAGCAACTCACAACCTAAAGCGTACGCCCCAAGAGTAGTTACTCAAGAATTCAAGGAGTGCGAGACTCCAAGAACTCAGTTCTTTCGTATTTTAATTAGGAAAATTGTTTGGATTTGACGTATGGTTTAGAAACATACTAGGGTTTAGACTCGATCGCACGAAGGTGAGGAACGAGGTTAGAAAGGTTGTATGTTCAGGAGGAATGACAACTACTCGATAAACGAGACGTCGGCCTCGTAATCAATCAGTCGGGATATCGCTGGAATGCTAGATCCCAACGATACATTTTTCATTCCATTAATTATGAAATATATTTGTTGGACAGTGAATACTTATCCAAATAATTATGGAGGTATTTTAAGAACAAAAGTTTGAATGGCACACCATACAAGGCGTACGCCTCAATAGTGATCATACTCGAATTCAAGGAATGCGCGACTCCAAGAACTCGATTCTTTCGTAATTTAATTTAGAAAAATAATTTGAATGGATTAGCGTACTCGGACTAGACGCGCTAGGTATTTAAGAAAATAAGATCGAAAGGGTCACAACTCGAGGTGTGCACCTCGAGAGCGGTCGCTTAAAAATTCAAGGAAGGCGTGATCCAAGAATTTAATTATTTTAAAATTTGATTTTGAAAAATAGTTTAATTTATATATAAAATAAATTAACCAATCATAAAAAAAGTTTTTGAGAAAAGCTAATCATGATTAATTGTTTTGAGAAAAGTTTAATATCTTAAAAAGGTTTTTAACTTAGCTAATAAAATATAATTTCTAATATTTAAAATGTTATTTGGTGATGATTTTGAAATTTATATTTTTTAAAAGAAAGAATAATTTGAATTTCTTACTAAAATATCTAATTAACAAAAAAATTTTAAAAATTTTAATTGAGTAAAAAACAATTTGGAAAATAAAAGACGTGACAACCACAACTCATGGCGTGCGCCTCAAGAGCGGTTGTTCAAGAACCCAAGCAGTGCTAGACCCCAAGAGCCCACTACTTTCGTGGATTTAATTAAAAATATTTTGATATATAAAAAAAATGAAATAAAATAATTAATATTTAATCAAGATTAGGAAAATTTGTCTTTAGTGAAAAGTCAAAATTAACTGTTTTAATGGTCTAATTAGTATAAGATTAATTAATTAAAATAATAATCCATTATTCCTAACCATTAATTATTCTAAGCTAAACCAAATAACTAAAAAAAAAAAAAAAATCTACCAAAAGAACAACCTATCTACTGCTATGAACACAATTTGGCCGTAAAACACAATCTGGCCACAAAATTACTACACACACACACCATCTACTACACCACAATCAAGATGTAGAATTCAAGCCACAATAATTATGATAGAAAAAATAACATAATAAGCAAACACCACATCAATTATTATTATTATTTAAAAAAACAAAAATTGATTATTAGAAAAGAAAATATTAACTTAAAGAAAAACAAACAGGGACCGAGTCTGATTTAAGTTGTTACCGAAAACACATCGTTGTTGTCGGATATGTTGATGTTATCCTTTTGCTTCCGGCGACAAGCATGAACAAAACCAGACCGATGTCTCGACAGAGTAGTGAGCATAAAGGAGGCAAAAGGGATTATTTGAAAAATACCGATGCCGACTTTGAGACATTGAACTTGTTGAATCCGAACCAACTAAAGCACATACCAAATCAAACCAGCTGGAGATTCAAATTACGATCGCACCAGAGTTACTTCTATTTCCAGCTTTGGATGGTTGAACCGCGTTATTGGTGTTGATGTTGAGCTGTTGCAATACCGACACAAATGCATAACCGTTAAGTTATGGTTGACATCATCGCGAGTTGCAACCGGGATGACGAGTTATTGAAGTAAAACTCAGTGGCTTGAACACACAACACAAATGATCACAATTGCTGCTGGATTGTGACATTAGTGAAGCTGCTACGACATTGCCGCTACGACGTTGTTACTTGAAGCAAGTTGAGCCGTTGAGTTGCTCGTTGTGTTATGGTGAATGGAGTTGGATTCAACTTCTGGATCTCAAACCTATAACCTGCATCCACCAAAGAAAAACAGAAGAAAAATGGCTCCGGTATTTGTGGTGCAGCCAGCAGTCAATTGAAACCATACACACAAAATATGACATGAAATTGGTATGAAAACAAACATTCATAATATCATTCAAAACAGTGTACGTAGAACCATACTTTTAACAAAACTTACAGTCAAAACATAGAATACCAAACCACATAGCCAAAATCGGATCAGAACTGAGGCAAAATGAAATACAAAACCCAAAAACGCAGCAGGAAAGCTTGTTACCATTATTGAATAGTTGAATCGTGAGAATGTAGGAAACAAACTGAGTTATGTTGCTCTTGCGAAATTTTTACCGTCACGACGTCATCATCAGAACTTGTTGGCTTTGAGATGAGACGTGGCTGGGAGTATTCTTGACAGCATGCGACCAAAGACATTTGTATAAACCAAGTCATGAAGCTGCAATAACGTGAAATCTACCGGTGTCGAACACCATAAACATTGGCAGCATCGTCGTGCAGTTACTGGTTTTGTCGCATTACCGTAAACAACCTCGTAGTGGTCTGTCGTCAACAGAACCGAAGCGCGACATCGAAGGCTGTTGTTGTGTCTGTTTGAGAATGAAACAATGTTGTTGTTGTGATGTTGTTGACATGAAACGAGTCGGTTTTAACTTCCGAATCTCGAATCTATAACCTGCATACATCAAAGAAAAACAGAAAAGAAAACGGCTCCGGTGTTTGTGGTGCCGCCAGCAATTAATTGAAACCAATTCATGTAACATCTCAAAACAATTCACAACCAGGACCAGAGTCAGTCCAAAATAAGTTCAAACCAGTTAACAAAACTGAACTGCATCTCATCCAAGCTCGTACCCTGTTGTACACAAAATCAGTTAGAAACAAATACACAAAACTCTGAAATCAATGCTTAAACAGTGCGATTTACACCAATACTTGAAAAACACATTTGATGTTGCAGTGAAGTAGAACAAAAGATTCATCAATACTAGCCGAGTTTGGTGCCACATTATATACTTGTTCTAGAAATCAAGAAGAGCTTACTAAATGCTTAAATGAATGGAAAAGTAAGGTTTTTCTTTTAACTTCTTTTAACAGTTCTGAACTCAATGCCACCTTTTGAGTTGTGGAGATGAATATGCTCCACAACAACATTTGAAATGCCACCAGACATGTCACTACCAAATGCAAGAGCAGAGCCATAAGATGCTTGTAGATGTACCCTTCTGATGTGGACATTCTCGGTAGGCCTACCGTAGGCAATTCCATACTCGTCCCAGCCACTTTTCAGGGCGATTGCATCATAACCAGTGGCAATGGAACAATCCTCTATGCAAACATGGTCAGAAGAATCTGGTACTATTCCAACAGTATAAGGGGATTCCGGAGGAGCAAAGATTGAGATATTATGAATATGTACATTGCTGCAATAAACCGGGTGAATGTTATATGCAGGGGCATTCAAGAATGTAAGATTTGAAACTACCACATCATTAGATGCCACTAATTCAACCAGATGAGGACGGCCGTAGTTCAAGGAATGAGATTTAAATGATTCCCACCAAGTCAATCCCATGCCATCAATGGTTCCATTATTACCTGTTATGACCATATCTTGTAACTTATACCCATTTATCAAGCTCTGATATCTTCCTCCAGGAACTTCAAGTCCTCGACCATATGACGGTAAAGGATCAACAACTTCCCAGTGATGGGAATCCTGAGATCCAACAATGACAGCACCTTTTTCCAAAAAGAGGGTAAGATGGCTAGTGAGATTGAAACTTTGAGTAAGCCATGTTCCAGGTGGTACATACAGTTGAGCACCACCTTTGTCAGCAAATGACTTGAGATAGAAAATGGCATTCTGAAATGCAAGAGTGTTCAATGTTTTACCATCTCCCACCGCACCAAACTCCAAAATAGAGACACTATGTGGCCTAGGCTTTAGCGACGGATTCACCCCACATTGCCTACCACCTCTTTCACCATTCACTCTCACTCCATTGCTCAATGCCAGTACCAGCAACAGCAATGCCACTAGCATGTTATTGGGTCAAAGGGTGTCTGACAAGAGGGAGAGAAGAGATAAAAGTAGCAAAAGAAAGAACAGAAAAAGGAAAAACAACAGAGAAATGAAGACGAAGCAGAGAGAGAGAGAGAGAGAGAGAGAGAGAGAGAGAGAGAGAGAGAGAGAGAGAGAGAGAGAGAGAGAGAGAAAGAGAGAGAGCACTCACGTGAGGAGTAAAAATGAGAGGAGAATGGTTTTGGAGGGAGAAGATGAAGGGATGGTGGTGCGACGAGGGTGAGCGGCGCCGATTTGGGGATGGGGTTTTTTCTTTAGGGTTGCCCTTCAAACTTAGGGGCAGCCGCTATTCTTTAGGGTTAGGGTGAACAGTGTATCCTCATCCTAGGGTCTGTGAACAGTAACTTATATAATCCCAAAAGAACTAAACCTAATTCCAAATCTACCGTGTTTTCATTCTTTCAATTTTCTTTTTCTTAAATTAAATTTCTTTTAATTTTAATAAATCTATTTTCTATGTTAATTAATTAAATAAAACTAATTCTAATTTGATTAATAAAAAAACAAATTCTATTCTAATAAATAAATAAATAAATAATTATAATTCTATCCTATTTTAACTAATTAATAATAAAAATGTTAAAACATAAATAATAATAAATAAAAGGATGCCATGTGGTGCAAGTTTATTGGGCTAAAAAGAAAATGTCTGCTTTTGCTGAAAAATACGCTACGCTGTATAAGTGAGGTAAATTTAAAACAAAGTCGGGCAAATGAGAAATTTTGAAAAAAAGGTAGGACAAATTTGGGGTATGACAGATGCCCCTATCTAATTGCCTTGAACCTGAGAGAATGAACGGCTGCAGAGCGTTCATTTTAAGGTGGAAGTCAATTAGATACAAGAAGATCCCAAAATTTGTCCGATAAGCAAGTAAAAATGCAAAGAGATGGGATATACCAGAACAGGATGACAGGATGCAAAAATAGATGAACGAGATAACCTGATATTCCCTGGGTGGTCGAAGCAGTCCCTTATCCAATAAGGTTCTTCGCGGTACCAGAGTGGTATAAGTGATCCTCCTTGGGTGGTCGAAGAGGCCCCTCATTCGTTAAGGTCCTTCGATGATACCAAAGCGGTACAAACGATCCTCCTTGGGTGGTCGAAGCAGCCCCTCATTCGTTAAGGTCCTTCGATGATACCAAAGCGGTACAAACGATCCTCCTTGGGTGGTCGAAGCAGCCCCTCATTCGTTAAGGTCCTTCGATGATACCAAAGCAGTATCTCGAACAAAACTTGGGATTCTTCGGGTGGTCGAAGTAGTACCTTGTCCATTAAGGTTCTTCGATGATACCAAAGCAGTATCTCGAACAAAACTTGAGATTCTTCGGGTGGTCGAAGCGGTACCTTATCCATTAAGGCTCTTCGATGATACCAAAGCAGTATCTCGAGTGATAATTTTGCTGAGGAATAGTTGAGCTAAAATTCCTATTTAAAGGAACAGCGTTGTCCAAACTCTGCAGGGGAGAAATCTTCCATAAACTCTCTAAGATAACCTCTGCTTAGGGAACAATAAGAGCAACGACTGTTGGGAATCGTCATTATCAACTGCATGGTTGAAGAATTACTTGTTGGGGATAGAATTCCCTGAACTCGTGCGGGGTATCAACTCTGTTTAGAGAAATATTGCCGACTTTGATATAGGACTGGTCAGGATACTCGTGAACTGATCCTGGATCCTGTTATGCTATGTCGCTGGGGATAAAATGCAATGCTCTGTATGATGCGCAAATATGCAATTAAAATGCAACTGCTATGGAATGCAAGATGTATATGTAAATGATTGATATGCAATGTGTATGAAGATGCAACTGGGTAACATATTAAGGTAAGGCTTTATTTCTAGTTTAAGATTATTTTTGGTATTAGGTGAAACAAGGTGAAAAGATTTACGAGGTATACTGGCTTATCAACTCGGGGGTTGAAGAAAGGTAAATATCGACTCGGGGGTCGAGAAAAGGTAAATATCGACTCGGGGGTCGAGGAAAGGTAAATATCGACTCGGGGGTCGAGAACAAATAAAAATATCAACTGCATGGTTGAAGGGAAAAGGCAAGTATCGACTCGGGGGGTCGAGAAAATAAAGACATGTCAACTCGGGGGTTGAAAAAAAAGTTAAATATCGACTCGGGGGTCGAAGAAAGGTAAATATCGACTCGGGGGTCGAGAAACAAAATATCAACGCGGGGGTTGAGAACATAAAGAACAATATCGACTTGGGGGTCGAAGGAAATAAAGGCATATCAACGCGGGGGTTGAAGGAGGAAAAGGAAAATATCGACTCGGGGGTCGAGAAAATAAAGACATATCAACTCGGGGGTTGAAAGAGGAAATGATCGTGCTATGTATGTGTATGGTACATGTCAATTATATGATGCATATGCGAATGCAAGCAGAAGATTGGTTTATGAAGGTGCCAACAAGGGTGGACTTGGGTGGTGCCAAGCAGGGTTGGACTTTAGGGGATGCCAAGAGGGGTTGGACTTTTAATGGTTGCCAATACAAATTGGACTTTAAGAGATGCCAAGCGGGGTTGGACTTTTAATGGTTATGATGCCAGCAAGGTGGACTTTTATTTGGTTGCCAATAAAAATGGACTTTTTGAGTTTTATGGGATGCCAACAGAAGTGGACTTTATTTGGTGAAAGTATTTTACTTCCCGACACACGGTATCTAATGATGCTATGGTCAGAAGACAGATATGGAGGCTCTCGGATGCCCCAAGTTAGATCCTTGCAGAAGTTGGATGCTTATTCCTGGGAGAACCTTAACTTCTAGCCAATGTGCCATGACGGCTTACAAATGCTGAGCTTAGCGACATAACCAAAGCATGTTGAACGTGCGAGCGTAGCGACTTAACCAATGCTTGTTGGTCATGCTTTTGCTCTGCCCCAAGGCTTTTGACGTTCGTTGTGAACTCAACAGTTACTGATGTCTGGCATGGTCAGCTTGACCGACTTTGAAAGTAAGGAGGGAAACTGCCCCTGTTCAACTAGTCTGCCTCAGTCCGCCAGGTATTTGAAAATTTTTCTTAAAGATTTACACCATGACATGATCTGCGATGATTGCCCCAGTGTCTTAGATTTTGCAACAATATGCCCCTGCTTGAAACTCGGAAGAACTTGCCCCAGTCTGAACTGTGTAATGGTTTGCCCCGGTTTAAACCTCAGAAGGACTTGCCCCAAATTCGCAGGGTTATGAGAAAGTCTCGATTCAGGTCAACACCAATGAGTGATCAAGTTCTTATTTGATTGCACTTTGTTGGTAGTTCTATTATGTCAAGTGCTAATTTGCAGTTTAAAATTGTTCATTTAAAAAAATGGTAATTTTAATGCGACATTCATGCAAGTTTTGAAAGGATCACTTATTAGAATGATGTGACAGTGTATGACGAGTGGATTATTAGCCCAAACGTAGTGCTAATTTATTTGGTGCGAAAGATATAGCAAGAATAATGACACCAATGCTGGCGATTAGCAATCATGTGAGGAGTCAGGTTACGCAACCTTGTTGTAGTTATGCTTTCAGAATAAAACCCCGCCTCAATTAGGTCTTTTGAGGGTTGTATCGTGGTCTAGTTCATGGTTATAGAAACAAAGGATATTAGGCTCAAAGTATGATTTGGTACCCACCCCTTCTTCGTGATAATCTCCATACCTATGTTTAGTTAATTCTGCAAAAGTTTACCTTGACGGTGTAAGCTAGACGGTTCAAGGTTTGCCTGAAATGGCAGCCACCTTATTTTGATGGATGTCAGTAACCCCTTGATTTGGGTGGCCACTGAATCTTATTTTGTTTTTGTAGAGGGTTTGAGTACCTCTTTTGGGTTTTGTTCTGATCCCTAACTTTTGCATGGACTGACTTTGCTTGTCAGATCCATCGGGATTGCCTTGATTTTTGCCTAAGTCTCCTTTTGAGGTGTTTGACTTAGCAGGCTTTTGAATTTTTTTTGAAGGATTGTGACTGCCATGTCAAGGGTTATTGATGAACCGTCATGACTTTTGGATCTTGCCTCGTGATTCAAGTGCGTAATCAGGCTAACTGAACACTACCCATGCCCCAGGTTAAGTGTAAGGGTTTAGAAATCCGAAGGAAACTCCTACTTCTAGGCTCGAAGTGGTTGACTAGGGACTAACTCCTTATCTCTCCGGTGTTTGGGGATTTGAAACAATGTCTGTACATCATCGGCGAGATTTTATTCAAAAGCATACTATCAGCAATTATGGGTATTTCGTTTTCGTCATCCTCCCTCAAATCTTGGCTAAACATCAGTGCGATAAAGGAAGTGGAGTGAAAAAAAATTTTGTGATTTTTTTTGCGATAAGTAAGAAAATGTGAGTGAATACGAATGGATTTGATCAAAAACATGCATAATCATCACATTAACAATACCATCAATAAGAAACAATGTCTAAAAGCAAGTAGCATTATAACAGAAAAGAAACTACAAATGCGAAAAAACAATATGGAAATTGCCAGTATTGAGGAACTGGACTTTTCTCTCTTGCATCACAGTTGAGCTACCCTTCTTGCTCATCGAGACCAGTATGATAACCTTCTTCATATCTACTCTCTGCAGCTTCTTCCATGCCATGAACTGATGAACTCACTTGACCAGATGAAGGTTTGATATTGATATGAAGTCCTTGAGGTGTAAACGAGATCAGCTTGGACTCAATCAGTTCTTAAACCTTATTCTTGAACTGTTTGCAATCTTCGGTCAAATGCCCCATTGCGCCAGCGTGGTAGCGACATCGTGCATTGGTGTCAAAGCCTGGTGGATATGGTAGGATCACAAGATCCAAACCTTTTGGCACTATTAGTCCACTACTAATCAAACGTGGTAGCACGTGATTGTATGGCATTGGTAATGGATCAAAGTGTCTCTTTGGTCTTTGATTATAGTAACGTCGTTGTTGCGGACGTCTATTGACAGGAGGATATTGACCATGTGAAGAGACCG